GTCTTTATCCAAATCACTGATGAAAATATTCAACAGTCCGGGGCCCAACCTAGATCCCCTAGGCACTCCACTGGACACCTCTTACTGCATGAACAGTGAACTCTTAAGGATGAGTCCTGGGTCCTGATCCTGTGGGCAAGCTCAAATCTCCCTAGCTTTTCCACAATGCTGGTCAGGCAGCAATAGCAGATGAACATTTACTGACCACCTACTATGTGCCAGGCACTGTGCTAAACTCTGCAAAGACAGACAAAAACTTGGTCCCTGCCCTCAAGGAGCTCGCTTTCTAAAGGAGGGAGAAGCATGCAAAAACAACTTACAAACATGAATACAGGGTAAATGGGCAGATGGGGGGCAATGCTGGAGAAGGCCTTGGCAGCTAGGGATGGGGCTGACAAGGCTTCCTGCCTGCAGCAGGCTTTGGGCTGGAGCCAGAGTGGAGGGAGTGAGGGCAGTTCAGGTATGAGGGACAGTGGGAATAGGGGCAGGTAGGAGCCTCCCTCCTCTTTGATCTGGGTCTTGATTGGTGATTCTCGTGGCAGGGCCAGGGGCATCATGAGCATTGAGTGGGATCTTCAGCCCCGTCACAGTTACTGAGAGCCTGGCTTTAGTCTTCAGGGGCTCGCTCCTCTTGGCCTCGTCCCGCCACCCAGGTTTTCTGAGAATTTGGTCCACACGTGGGTAAAAGGATCCTCAGCTCTTATGGAGTCACACAGGCTTTGCTAACATCTCATAGATGACAAACTTTATTTGTGGTGGAAGACACAATTTCCTCTCCATGAATGGTCAGTCCTGGCCAGCTTTCTTTTCCAGGGCCTCCTCTACTGGGGCTGGCTCCTTAGAGGAGTGAGCCTCTCCCCCAGTTCTGCACAGCTCATACAGCTCACAGTACAGCTGAGTGTGGTTCTGCAAGCATTTATTGGGCATGTGCTACATTGAAGGAGATGTGGGAGGTGCTGTCTCTGGGTGCAGATCCTGCCCTCTGAGAGCCTGAATTCAACTGAGGGGCTATAACACTTACTCGGAGAACTCTTCCAAAGTCAAGACAAAGTCATTTGGAGATGGGAACCCTATTGGCCAGGGACTCCTGGGGGGTATTGGCAAAGGTGCTTGTGGAAGGTGACCGATGAGTTCAATCTTGAATGTAGATATGGATTCCAAAGAGTGTTAAGTGAGGAGGGAGAGTGTTCCAGGCATGGCGGCCAGCCTGTGCAAAGCCGCGGAGGTGGGAAATGAGATGTCATGTTCAGAGAACAAGTCTATGGACCAGTTCGACTGGACTGTAGAGAAAGTGATAGTGAGTGATGTGTCATCATTGCTGGATGGCTAGGCTGGAGCCAGATCATGAAGGATTTTAAAGGCTGCTATATCCCAGATGCAATGGGGAACCATTGAAGCCTCTTGAGCTGAGGGCTGACATGACCAAACTTGTGCTTTAGGAATATCACTTCAGTGGCTGAGTAGAGGATGAACTAGGGAGGGAAGAGCCTGGAGGCAGAGAGGCCAGTGAAGGGGGCCATTGCAATAGTCCAAGTGTGAGGTGAGGAGGCCCAGCCCCGGGGGGGGGGGGGCGTGGCAGTATCTGAGGAGAGAAGGGGCCATGTGCGGGGGATGTTATGAAGGCAGAAAAAACAGGACATGACAATGCTTGGAAAAGGAGGGGAGAGGGAATGAGTCCGAGGTTGTGAGCCTTTCAGCTTCATGGCGATGTCCTCGATGTCCCAATCCTCTGTGGAGAGGGAGCAGCTGGGGAGGGGCACAGGCGGCCCAAGGAGGGGGTAGAGGGAGGGCATCCGTGAGCAGCGGCCAGACCCGGGCTGGGCTGGGGGGTGGCGTGAGCCTGCCGACAGCCTGAGACATGAATGGAAGTGGCTGGGGTTTAGAAGGTGGGATGGCAAGAGCAGCAAATGAATGAATGAACAAAAGAAGGAAAAAGCCTTTATTAAGTATTCATTATGTGCCAAGTGCTGGGGACACACAGCAAGACAGCCCTTGTTCTCAAGGAGCTCATACTCTGGTTCTTAGGTTATCTCCGTCCACCGGGTGACAGTGCCAGAGGTTGGCAGGAAGTGGAGACAGGGCAGATGGCAAGGCCTGGTGGCCCTCCATTTCATCAGAAGACACCCATCTGAATCAAGCCAGATGATGGGTATGGGCAGGAGGCGCAGGGGAGGCTGCCCTCTGGTGGTGGCAGGGCCCCCCTGGGTGGGTGTGGAAGTGACTTGGGGGTGGGGAATGGGTAGCAGTGGTGAGGGATGATGATGGCCTGGAGAGGGTGGCAGGGTGGAGGGATGAGAGCTCAGGATGAGGAGAGGCTCAGAAGAAGGAAAGTGCTGGTGAGGTGGTCTGTCAGTGGTCAGTCAACAAGGATGTATTAAGTATCCGTGCCTTTTCTGCCCTGGTAGCTAAGTTCCTCAAAAAGGTCGTCTACAATGGGTGCTTTGCCTATCTCTCTTCTCACTGCCTTCTTAAGTCCTTACAATCTGGCTTCTGACCTCATCATTCCACTGAAGCTGCCCTCTCGTTACCAAGGATCTCCCAGCTACCAAATCCAGTGATCTTTTCTCTGTCCTCATTCTCCTTGACCTGTCTGATGCTCTTGACACTGTTGATCACTCTCTCCTCCTCTCTAGGTCTTGGCGACACCCCTCTCTCCTGGTTCTCCTCCCACCTCTCTGATGGCTCCTTCTCTGTCTCCTTGGCTGGATCCTCCAGATCACACCCTCTAACCACATGTATGCCTCAGGTTCTGTCCTGGGTCCTCTTCTCTTCTCTCTCTATCCTACTTCACCTGGTGTGGTTTAGGAGGACTAGCACCTCTGGTGTGAGGGCTGCCAATCTCTTTTTTTTCTAGGCAGTGGGGTTAAGTGACTTGCCCAGGGTCACACAGCTAGTAAGTATCAGATGTCTGAGGCTGGATTTGAACTCGGGTCCTCCTGACTCCAGGGCCAGTGCTCTATTCACTGTGCCACCTAGCTGCCCCCTGCCAATCCCTTTTCAGGGCAGATCATCCACCTTTGGTGTCCTCCTTCACCTGACTCTCATCTGTGGCTCCAAGAAGCTATTACATGGCAGCAGACACACCTCAGTAAACTGCCTTGGCAGATGGGCTAAATCAAGATAAGAGTAACTGATGGCGCTTAAGCCTGTCAGTGAGTTAGGGAGCATTTCTACTCCAAGTATGTGAAGACTTCCCCTGACCAAATGAGCAGATGAGAACAATTTGTTCCAACGGCCACGAAGGTGGCTGAAGCCTGTAGGCACATGGAGCATTTAGAGCTTGGTCAGACATTGCAAATACCAAGGTCAAACACTGCATCCTGGGCCATCGCCAGTTGTCCTGGTTTTTGTTCTGCCACCAGACTTCAGTGACACCCTCCTCCCCATCCCTACCTTGCCCAGCAGCCTCAGGCACTGCTGCTGGGGGCTTACATGTCTCTCCCAGAAGGAGCCTAGGAAATGTTGCCTAAGATGATAGATTCTTAGATGACAAGAGAAGTGCTCAGGGGCACAGGCAGTTTTTTTTTTTATCACTACTTCCTGTCATAGGCAAGGGATACCGGAGAGAACAGCAGATTTGGGAAGTGAATAGCTGGTGAAGGTGAGGGCTGAGGATGGAATTTGTTCTTCTGTATCTGGGCTAAAACATAGGAATGATGAGGCTGGAGTGTTCCTGACAGGTGCCAGCAAGAGGCAGACAGGCCCAGGAACCCGGGAAGTGACAGCACCCCCAGACCACCTGTCCTGCTTCTGGCCCAATCCTCATCACCCTCACCAGGGAAGCATCTCCTGTGAAAAAGGGGCTAACCATTGCCACCAACTGCACCCACAGTGCAGGTGGGCAGTCTACCTGAAGCAGCAGAGCACCCTGAGAGAGACAGGAGACAGCGTGTGCAGCCAAGTCAAATCACCAGCACCACCTTGAACACATCTCTCCTTAGACCCTGAGGGAGAGAACCCAGGACCCTGAGCCCAAAAGAGGAAATCCAGGAAACTTAGGACAGAGAAGGAGAGATATCTGGGAATAAGCTGACGCCCTCTAGGTTGTGGAAGAGCACTTTTAAAAAAGTTCAAGGAAGGATAGGTTAGATCCCACAGCCTGAATTTCTAGAGGAAGCCAGCCCAGGAGGAATGGGAGCTGCTCAGGAATGAAATTCTGAAGGCACAAAGGGAAACAATTTCAGTGGGAAGGAAGAATGGGAATTGTCTGGAGACCAATACAGATGCACAGGGAACTCCTCAGGCCACAGAGATTTTTTTTTTTTTGGCTAGACAATGGGGTTGTGACTTGCCCAGGGTCACACAGCTAGTAAGTGTCAGATGTCTGAGGCGGGATTTGAACTCAGGTCTTCCTGACTGCAGGGTCAGTGCTCTATCCCCTGTGCCTCCTAGCTGCCCAGCCACAGAGATTTTTAAAAGAAATATATAGATCATAGAAGCCAGGACTGGTAACAGAGGATAAATACAGAGTGGTAACTTGTAAGAACAATGTCACGACAGGCTAGAGAGCATTGGGAATCTAGCAAGAGGTGCTAGGTGGTGCAGCAGATAGAATGCTAGATTTGGAGTCAGGAAGTCCTGGCTTTAAAATCCTGCCTTAGACACTAGCTATGTGACCGTGGGCAAGTCATTCCGGAGGGAAGCTCACAGCTTCTCTTGTGCACGGCCCTCCTCTCCACTCACACAGCCGCCTCCCTTGAGGGCAGTGCTTGTAGTTGACGGTAACTGCTGATGTTTTTGATGATGCAAATGCCCTTCTTCTTAACAGCCTGGGAGGATGGTTGTCTGAAAGTTATTATGATTGATTGATTGATTGACTTTCTCAGGAAGAAGGAGGCAGCCCATGCAGGGGAAGGGACACGGGAGGCACTGCTCTGACCATCGTACCAGGCTTGGCCCCAGCTCCTGGCTAGAGCACACTGCCCTGCGTGTCTGGGGAGAGCAGGCTGGTGAGACTTGGTGCCCACCTCTCAAGACCCCATCTGTCTGCTTTCTCGTAGGTCATGTAGCCAATGAAGATGGGCCTGGTGGTGCTCGTCCGGAACCTGCTGCTCACCCTCTGCCTTTGCCTGGTGCTGGGCTTCATGTACTACGCCGCCTGGAAGCTGCACCTCCTCCGATGGGAAGACCCCAGTAAGTACCAGCAGAGGGGCCCTGCTGAGCCCCAGGATGGCCACTGGCTCGCCGCTGCCCTGGAGGCTCATCCTTAGGAAGCTTTGCTCTTTGTCAGGGGCTCCCACTGCTTGGGGCCTGTTCTTGGCTCTCAGCCTGGAGAGAGCATGTGAGGCTTTTGTTGGTGGTGCTGATGGAGGCCTCCTCTGGAGCCTTCTCAGGTTACTGGGAGGACTGAGAATTGGGATGGGCCCCATAGGCCCCAACCCCCACCTTACAGAGGAAGAAAGTAAGGCCCAGAGAGTCAGTAATTTGCCTAAGCTAAGAGACTTTCCCAAGGGGCTAAGGTCATAGGTGTAGAGCTAGAAGGAGCCCCTGAGGTTGTGACATCCAGACCCTCCCCACTTTACAGAAGAAACCGAAGCCCAGAGAAAGAAATGACTTACCCAAGGTCACAGAATTGTAGGATCACAGAGGTAGAGCTGGGAGGGATCTTGGAGGCCTTTGTTGTATAAATGGGGAAACTGAGGCTGAGGGAAGCCCAACAACTGACTCCAAGGGCTAGAGGCAGGATTGGCACTGGTCCTGTGATCCCAGAGCCGTCAGGCTTTTTGGTGCCCCTCCCCCCTTTCCCCTCCCTCCCTCCTCTCCCTTCCACTTCCCTGGCCTGGTGGTAGCTCAGGCCCAGAGGCCCCTCCTGAACCGTGGCCCATCATCGTGGAGACTTGAGGCCCTCCTTTCCCCCTGAGTGTCAGGAGCTTTCTCCTCACTTGGATGTTTTCTTCTCTTTCTTAGCTGTATTTGACACCTGTCAGGAGAGGGAGGAAGTCTGTGCACTGGGCCCAGGGGGCAGAGGGACCATAGGAGGGTTAGGGAAGTGGGTGACCTGTGAACCCGCTTTGCTCTCCAGAATGGATGATGGAGGATCATTCAATCAGAGTCAGGGACTGGACCAATAGCATGTAATTTATCTAGAATAAGTGTCACCGTCAAGTCCTAATCCTGTCCCCTTTTTCCATTTCTTTATTCCCCTTCTGTCCCCTTCGTGTCCCATTTTCCCTAGGAGTCTGCTATGTCCTTGGCGTCCTGTCCCCATCACTGCCCCTCCTGCCACCCTCTGGGCCACCTGGGCTGCCATCTGTGAAGTGCTTCAAAGTGGCGTCCCCTGTGTGGCACCCATGGGCGGGGCTGCTCAGTTTTGTGGGATGGACCAGGCTGCAGAGGCCGGCTGTGTGGGGCCAGGGGAGAGGGCCTGGGTGGGGTAAGGAGACGGGCAACGCCCGCTGGTGATTCTGTTGTGTGCTTGAGGGAGACGTGGTGAGGTGATGGTGCTACCTGAACTGTCTGGCCCCGGGCCCGTGGGAGCCACGGTGGGGTATCCTGGCACTGGCCCTCCCAGAGTGCCTTGCTCCTTTTCCAAGGATCCCTTCGTTCTTGGTGTTTCGGAAGGGCCTGATTTACTATCCTCGTTTGGATGGCTCTGATGCTTCCTCAGCCGCTCTGAGCTTTGTTCACCCTGACCCCTGATTGCCGGGGTCTGTGGGGCTTCCAGCTTGGAGCTCTGCGCAGGCCCATTTGGGGCTGGGGGCGGGGTGCTTGGGGAGCACAGGGAGCCTTTGTATGTGAGCTTTGCAGCTGGAGGCCAGCCTTTGTCCGTGGAGAACGCTGGCCCGGGGCGCTGACTTGAGGACACCCGGCTGTGTCTGGGGCCCCAGACACAGAGCAGCTGAACTTGGCCCCTTTCTTTGCAAGAGAAGGAAGCAGCAAATGTCTCAGGCATGGTCCTTTTGAATGAAAAACAGAGAGGGAACAGAGAAGTACTTTAATAAAAGGTGCCGCAGGCCCTAAAAGCTCAGCTGCCATCCCAGAGTGTCCAGTGATGGAGCTGCGGGTGCCAGCCTTACAGGGCTGTACATGTTCTGGCCCTTCACCTTCCTGCTCCTGATCTTTGTTCTGACCATTTAAAAGGGGGAAGGAGGGAGAAGGGGCAGGCAGGGGACAAAACTGGGAGTGGAGGCCAGAGCAATTTGAGGGTGCTCTGGTGACCCTTGCCCCTTCGTGAATTACCGATTGTCTTATGGAAAGTAATCTAGCAGATTAACAGTGTTAATCAAGTGGTCACAGCTTTGCCCTCACTCTAATTCTCAAACCTAGAGGAGCTACTCTGTTAACGGGTGAATAGAACAGGGGAGCTGGGAAAAATGATTGTGTGGGCTGTGGTCTGGGTGACCAGGGGCCTGTGAACTTCAGGCTGAGGGGTCAGACGTGGTGGACCAGCAGTTTATAAAGTACCTACTATGTGCCAGGCACTGTGCTAAGCACTTTTTTTTTTACAAATAGTATCTCCTTTGATCCTCACAACAGCCCTGGAATGTAGTTGTTATTATTATTATCCCCCTTTTACAGTTGAGGAAACTGAGGCAAACAGGTGAAGTGACTTGCTCAGAGTCACACAGCTAGTGAGGATCTGAGGCTAGATTTGAATGAGGGTCTTCCTGACTCTAGCCCTAGAGCTCTGGTCACAGTATAGCCCACTGGGAACATGGTGACTTATTCACCACATGCCTGGCCGTGGCATGTTCTCAGGGCAGTCGTCCCCCAGTTCACCTAGCAGAGACCAAGCCACCATTAGGCTTCTCTGAGCAGCCTCTGGCTGGGAGCCAAGGAGCAGCAGGTCAGCTGATCCCAAGCATGAGTGAGAAGCTAGGGCCACTCACATGTCTTTGGTGTCTATGAATGGATTCTTTTCTTCTGTAGGTTGGAAGCCTCTGTCCACGATCCCATGACCTGTCAGGGGCCTAGGCCAAAAGCCCTTTAATGAGGAGATCCCATGTTGGGAGGAAGTTTTCCTGACACCAGCCTCAATCAACCTTCCTGCAACTCCTCTTCCCCATGAGCCAAGCAGAACAAGGCTGTCCCCTCCTCCATATGACAGCTCTGACACTACATTTATTAAGCACCTACTATGTGTTAGGTGCTGGTGATACAAAGACAAAGTGAAATCATCAAGGATCTGATGCTCCAACGGGGAGATGGTATGGCTAGGGAAAAATAAACAGAAGAGAGTTCAGAGCCAGGATCTGGAACACTCTTGACAGCTCAGAATGTTGGGCAAAAGGAAAGAAAGAGGAAATTGAACAGAAACACATTTTGACCCCCAAAGGGTGAGGGAACCAATGAGAGGGGATTCTAGTGTGGACCTGGTTCTCCTACTAAGGGGAGTTATTTGCTGAGGTTGGAAAGATGGGAACCCTGTGGGGAAGTGATTCTTTTCTCCTAGATCCGGGTGCAGTCTGGCGTGCCCTGAGACTTGAGTAAAAATGCTCCCCAGGGGTTCACATGGCCTCTCGGGTCCCCTCTAACTCAGATTCAATGCATTGGATTCCTGTCTGATGCTCCTCTCCAGGCTCTTTTGCTGGATGTCCAGAACAGAGCACAAAAGCTTCTTCCTAAGTGTCGCCTGACGTCCCCCTTCTAGGTGGGAGCCCCTCCATCCTTCTAGTCACCCAAGCTCCCAATCTTGGGGTCCTCCTCCACATTTCTCCATTTCTAGCAGAGGCCGGCCATGAGTCTCTGTTTCATAACCTGTGTCATCTTCACCCCTTCCCTTCCCTCAGCCCTCGCTTACAGTTGGTTACCAAGTCTGGCTCAGTCTCCCTCCATCAGGTATCTGGGAGCTGTTTCCACTCCACTTCCCTCATGGCCACCCTCCCATGCCCTTTTCCCTGTGCTTCTGACTTCGCCTCTTAACTGGCCTCTTTTCTCTCTAATTCACCCTTGGCAAGATCACCTTTCTGAAGCTCGGGTCTGACTGTGTCACTCTGCTCAGGAAGCTTCGGGGCTCTTACCTGTGGGCTCAGTCTGGCTCTGTCCTACCTTTCTAGGTAGCCTCATCACACGTTAGTCTCCTTTAGGGACAGACTCTACAATCCAGACAAACTGGCCTTCTTTCTGTTCCTCACAAACAGTATTCTGTCTCTTACCTTTCCTCCTTCATATAGATCTCCTCCGCCCTTCCCACCCCAGTCCCTTCCTCATAGAATTCTCCTAATGACAGCTCCTGCTTTCCAGGGTTGTTGTGAGGATCAAAAGAGATAACTGTAAAGTGCTTATTAGTACAATGCCTGGTACACAGTAGGTGCTTAATCAATGCTTGTTCCCTCCCCTCAAGTATTTTGTTTATTTTGTAACAAATTTTCTGTGTATGTGTTGTTTCCCTCCAGGAGAGAGACAAAATTAAGCATTTCCTGGGTGCTGGGCACTGGGCTGAGCATGGGGGATACAAATACAGTTATCTCTTCCACTTCATAACTTTCCCATTGCAGTTTTGATATATCACGGGTCGCATTAAAAATTAAACAGGAATTTTTGGGGAGTTTTGCAGAAGCTGCAGAGGACACACAAAGACCAGCAGACACCAGAAAATGGTTAGAAACTCAGAAATGCATAAAATATATGTATAGCATTGCAGAATATCAACATATTTTATCTTTTGACACCATACTAATTCATACTTCTTCTCTGGTACAAAGGGAGGGCCAAATTTTACTGGATTTTCCAGATCTCGGGATGCTGTGTCTTCCCCCTGCCCCATGTGGAAGCAAGAAGAAAGGCAAACCCTGCCCTCAAGGAGCTTACATTCTGATGAGAGAAGACACCATTACATAAAGGGCCCTGAAAAGGAAAGGCTGCCCTTTTGGGTAGAAGGCTACTGGTGAGGAAGTAGAGAAGTCTGGAGAGTGACCAGTGGAGCTGGGAGTGAAGCAAGTGTGGCCTTGGGCCCCTCCTGAAATGGTGATCTGGGTTAGGGACTGCCCGATCAAGAGAGAGTGGGCCCCAGGGCAGAGGCAACTCCAGGGTGAGAAGGCTGTGGACACAGCCTGGGCGCCCCTGGGAAAAGGTCAAGTTAAGTAAGTGAACGAGCACTTAACAAAGGCCTTCCATGTGCCAGGCACTGTGCTAAATGCCTGGAATTACAGAGACAGGCAAAAACAATTCCTTTTCTCCAGGGTTTACCATCC